CCTCTCCTCTCCTCCTCTCCTCCTCTCCTCCTCTCCTCCTCTCCTCTCCTCCTCTCCTCCTCTCCTCTCACTCCTCTCCCTCCTCCTCCTCCCCTCGTCCCTACCAACTCCCCTCCCCCTCCCCCCTCTCGCCCCCCTTTCGCCCTCCTCCTCGTTCTCCTCTCCTCTCCTCTCCTCTACTTCCACTGTTCTGCTTTCTCCCCTCCTCCTCCTGTTGCTCCTCCTCTCTCCTCTCGCTCTCCTCCCTCCTCCTCGCTTCGTACTCTCCATGCCCCTCCTCCTCCTCTCCCCCCTTTCACCCCGAAGCAATCATCTTTCTCCTCTCCAACGTCTCCGCGCCGCTTCCTGTACCCATCAGTCACGCTCCCCGAGCTCTCTCCCATCCTCTTCACCTTGATCCGTCGCGCCGAGGACGTGAAAACACAGCATTCCTACCAGCGCGCTGACCAGCGCATGGCAGAACTACTCCCAAGATGTCAGCAGGTGGCCAGCAGGACGGCAGCAGAACCAGGTTGATCAGGTGGAAAGACTTTGCGGATTTCCCGAAGAGAAGAACGTTCCATCGGAAGGTCAGGCTAGGAATGAAGTCAGGCAGGAGAAGGGGGGAGGGAGGAGGGAGAGGACAGAAGTAGTTTCGAACTCCACCAACATCTCACGCTCCTCAACACGCACGACAACATCACATGGTTCAGCAGAGAAGAACTCTACATTTCATCATCGAGACATCGAAAATGCATCAGATCTCTGGTCAAGTTCATGACATTGAATCGCCTTCCGACCTCCTCCACGTCAATACAGTCATCTTCAACTCCAACACCTCCATCATCATCAACATCGTCATCGTCATCGTCATCGTTATGATCATGATCATGATCATCTCCGTCATGATCATCATCTCCATCATCTCTGATCATCATCTCCATGATCTCCATCATCATCGTCGTCATCGTCGTCATTACGTAGTGAATGGTCGATAAGACTTGTGCGACTCGTTACTCTGCAGTTCTTGACCCCAGAAGTCATGAAGAAACAGATCCCACACCTCCGAAGGCGACACGTCAAACTCCACCACCACCTCTTCCTGCTCCTGCTCCTGCTCCCGCTCCTGCTCCTGCTCCTGCTCCCCCTCCATGCTTACCTTGCTCGAGTTCCCCGTAACGTCGCCATTCTTTGTGATCGCTGCTCCATCATCGTACACAAAGTCACCGTCGAGGCTGTTGAGGTAGCATGTGCAGCATGCCTGTGCAAGCATGAGAAGGATTTTCGAAAAATCCTCAGACGGGACAAGGAGCGGCAGGAGGAAGTGCTAGAGAAGCAGAAGGGAGGAGCAGAGGGAAGTAGGGGAGGAAGCAGGTAAGAGGGAGGGGAAGGACTCACGAAGGAGACAGCATGGAAGATCAGCAGACGCCGCCATCCTCCTCGTTCTCCCACCATCGCCCACGTTATCCTGCCATTTATCGGGGGCAAGGAAAACGAAAATTTACTAGGGGTAAGGTCTCAATAGACTGGGTGGGGGTACTTTTACAAGGGGTAGTATAATATGAAATTTGATATGGATCACCCTTGTAAAATCATGAAAAGGGGGGTAGAGGAATGATTTTCACATCGACAGGGTAGGGTGGTCAAAGCAAGGATGGCGGATCCCGGAGGGGAGGAGGAGGAGAGAGGAGGAGATCATCGAATGGGGGAGAAGGAAGAGAAAGCAGAAGAGGGAGGGAGAGGAAGAGGAGACTACGGAGAGGAAGCATGGCAAGGGAGGTATGACAGCAATCAAGATGTCGCCATTGCCTGCCTCCTCACTTTAACTTTCCTCACCCTCTACCTCTCCACCCTGTACCCTCACGTACCCGGGGGTGACTCTGGCGAGCTCATAGCTTCAGCTTTCCAGCTCGGAGTCGGGCATCCCCCTGGGTACCCTCTCTTCATGGTCTACGAAAAGATTTTCTCCTCCCTTCTGCACTTCGGGAATGTGGCATGGAGGATGAACGTGGGAATGGCGGTGGTGGGAGCCAGCAGCGCAGGGATGCTGTACATGACGGCGGTGCATGCATGGGACAGTCGCCCTCTCGCCATCCTTGCCAGCGGCTTGTTCGCCCTCAACCCGATCGTGTGGAACTACTCGACTCATGCTGAGGTGTTCCCACTGAACAACCTCCTCGTTTGCCTCCTCCTGTACCTGACTGTGCGGTACATGGAGCGGAGGGAGGCGAGTGTCGCACGCTGGGGAGCCTTCGTGATGGGCCTGGGGCTGACGAACCAGCACACGATCATCATTTACGAGCTTCCCCTGATGATCGGAGTGATCCTAGCAGGAGGAGGTAGGATCCTGAACCCCAGGGAGATAGCGGTGTTGTCCGCCATGTTCCTCCTGGGGTTTTCAGTCTACCTCTACCTTCCTCTTGCTACCTACAGCATGCCCTACGTGTCGTGGGGGGACGGGACCACCTGGGAGGGCTTCAAGCGCCACCTGCTCCGGGTCGAGTACGGGTCGTTCAGACTGTCGGCGGATGAGCGGGAGCCGGGTAGGCTGAGGGAGGGGGTAGTGTTCTGGATGGACAACGCCTTCCAGCAGAGCCCTTACGGGTTCCCTTACTTTGGCGTGCTGGGAGCTGCGTGGGAGGTACTGGAGTTCTGCAGGGACAGGGGAAGCAGGAAGAGGAAACTGCGCATGCTTCTGCTGCTGACTCTCACATTCTACATCATCTTCTTTCACTCCCTCGCCAACCTGCCGCTCTACGGGAGGAGGGACAACGTGGAGATCATCAAGAGGTTCTGGATGCAGACAGCGATCGTGGAGGTTCTCTTCATGGCCGCCGGCTTCCACAGGCTGCTGGCTCTGGCGGTTCCAGAGGTCCACCGTCCCGCGCTCGTCGTCGTCCACGTCGGCATCCTACTCGCCTTCTGCCGGCGCCACTATGAGAGGATGGATCAGTCTGACAACTACATCGTCTCTCAGTTCGGCAAGGAGGTCCTGGCTCTGATGCCAGTGAGCTCGCTGTTCCTGACCATGACGGACTTGGTCACCAACACCCTCAGGTACTGGCAGGCCTGCCACCGCCACCGGCTCGACGTGCTAGTGGCAGATCAGAACCTCATGTCGGCCGAGTGGTTCGTCAAGGGGCAGGCCAAGAACTACCCCGGGGTCGCGTTCCCCGCCAACATCTACTGGCCCTCCCGGCCCGACGGGTTCAACATGCGGGAGATGGTGGACGTGAACTTCGGCAAGTTCCGCATCTTTACCTTCGCAGGAGCCAAGGAGAGCAGCCATGAGCAGGCTGGGTACAAGCTCGTTCCCTTCGGGTATGCCGAGGAGTTCGTGCGGCCGATGAACCCGGACAGCTTGAGCCCATGGCAGTGCAACGAGTCGATGTGGGCCGAGACGGTCCCTTCCCACCTTCCCCCCTCCCCTCCCTACGTCAACCTCTCCTTGACGAAGTACCCCGAGGGCACCTGGGAGTACAAGGCGCTGGAGGAGTACTTCATCGCCGTCAACCGCTACGGGTTCTTCGCCTTCTCCTTGGGGTCTCGTTTTCCTCGAGTGGCGTACTATGCTGCCGCCTACGTGTACCGTCAGGGGGCGCGGGACCTGCCGAGGGAGCGATGCGGCTGCTCGTTGGACCAGTACTCTCACTTCTACCGCAGCCTGGGCTCCTGCTACTACCAGCTGATCACAAGGGGGATGGGGGACGTCAACGAGCACAAGAGGCTGCTGGGGGAGGCGTGGGGGGAGTACCTGAGGAGGATCAAGGAAGGGTTCCTTGGGGATCCGAACCAGCAGGAGCTGAGCAAGGATGTTGCGTCCTACTCCGCCATACTTGACTCCCCTCAGTTCAAACATGATCCCAGCGCTACCTACACGCGCGTGGAAGTGGTCGGGGAGGAGGGAAGGAGGGAGGAGGAGAGGTGCGTTCTGCAGGCTGTGCTTGAGCCGTCATGCTGTGACGTCCTTGCAGGGAGGGAAGGGAGGAGGAACCGGCTGGAGTGGACCAGGAGAGGTTGTTGCTGCTGATGTGCACGGCGGTCGAGCGCTGACGATGGTGCAGGATGGAGGACAACGAGGGGCTGTACTTTGACGACGACGATCTCCCCCCTGGTTTCCACTAGCGCTGGCATGCTCGAGATGCTTTTAGGGCTGATTGAGTTGAGGGAAGAAGGAGAAGGAACAGGGACAGGAGAATGCAGGAGGAGGGGGGGGAAGGAGGAGGAGGAGGAGGAGGAGGAGGAGGAGGAGGGGGACGATGAGGCGAGGATTCAAGGAGGATTATGGGCAGGATGAGAATCTTGACAACTCGGTTTTTCTGGGCGAAAGAGGTAAGGTTGATGGTGTATATTGTACGTGGAAGATCGGAACAAGAAACTAAATCAACAGCATGTGCTCTCCAGTAATGTCATGAATCAACGTATCCACTGTCAGCCTTCAACTCACCCGTCAAAGCATTCCGGTGCATCGGACAGGTTGGGAGTGGCAAGATATGTTGCGCGTATATCTGGAAAGTACTCCAGAGTTCTGCAACTACCGTCGGGACTTGACGAGCCAGCCTACATCAGGTCCTCCGCTCGATCCGATAGTGTCATAGTTCACCGCCTCGACAAGCCGTCGTCTTACTTCA